TGTCGCAGCCAAGCTGTTTGCGGAAATTCATCACACTTTCAGCAGGGACAAATCCTTGTCTGCAATAAATACAATAGCTATCAGGAACAAAATCCTTGACTGCAATAAATACAATAGCTATCAGTAAGCAAACACAAGAACTCACACACTGGAATAGCTGCATACACCAAAACATTCAAGAGTAAACACAAAGACACACCTTCTTATGCAAGTAAGTTTTAAGCATATGCACTTTCTGTCTTAGCTAGTGAATGTAGAGGACCTGAAACATGAAGACAGAGTGTACTTCCTGAAATGTCATGATGTTCTTGTTTTGCAAATTAGATTATAAGTAAAAAGATAAGAAACATAAACCATCTTGAGGACAGTGTTTATACCTGCGTAAACGGTTGACTACTTTTCTCAGAGTGCAGGTTATGGGTTGCTCTGTGTCAGCAGGCTTCTTACAGATATTATCCAGGGTCACAGATGAGCTGAACAAACTGAAGAGAGAAAACCATATTATTTTATCACCTCAGTGCTTATCTGAATACAGTTCACCACGCTCATTTGGCTGTATATAATCTCCTCCAAATACAAATACTTTAAGTAATGTGACAATAAACTAAATGTGAGCTGGGTTTGCAACAGCGCACTACTTGAGAGCCAAATGCTCCAAGAGGTGGTGAACTGGTTTTACCTGAAGAGTGTGGCATCAAGATAACAGGAGTTGATGTGACCCTGAATCCCCTTCATCCTTCCCACCAACAAAGACAAGGCCTGTGACTCGGGGATAGGCGATGCATCCTCCTCTGAGTCCTCAAATGGAGGAACTGAAAACAGCAAGCAAACATACACAAACAGATGTTCCTATTAAATGACATGTTAATGCAGATCCCCTCATTTAACTGGCAGCTTTAGATTTGAGAAACATAGCATTCTGCATCAGTTTCTCATCAGGCTTCAACACAGTACAACTGCACAATCACACAGGCCTTCAAGGATAATGATTAATCTGCCTTTCCAAAGTAGGAAGCTCAAGGACTGTCAGACATGTTCAACAGATGAAAAGAGTGCCATAAAAACAGCCATTGTTTTAGGTGCCAATGACATCATTTCTCTTCTCTACATTGTGCCAGAGGCAGAAGGGTGTGAAAATAAAGTCAGTTAAAGTAATTAGAAACCATGATTTGTGACTGTTTTTCTCACTAATGCACAACCCTGCCCATTATAACTGACAGGTAGTACGAGGAACAACAAACACCTATCCCAAAAGTACAACATAATACTGGCATGCTTATCAAAAGTACAGTTTGATACGTCCTGTAGGACGCTACAATTTTGTGCAGTGTACAAGGAATTCTGAAGGATGTTAGGTTAAACTTGCTTAATATTATTTTGTACAGGTGAAGTATAACAATAGTACTGAGAAACAATTCACACAGTGCCTTCAGAAGAAATTATACCAATAATATCAAACGTGCGTAATGTGTACAGTTGAATTGCTTGTGTATGCGCCTAAGAGAAGTGTCTAACCTGGAGGTGCTTCGGTGGGCTTTGGGGTCTCCCTTCCTGTAGAGGAGTAGACAAACCTGCTGTCAGGGCTGCACTTTGTGACAGGAACAAATAAAGCCCTGTTCCCTTTGCAGGTGAAATATCTCTGGCTTCCGTACTTCCCATCAGAGCAGCCGTTCACCTCATAGTCCTGAAACAATAAAAAACCAAATCAGATACAAGGAGTCTTAGGCACCTGAAGCTACAAAATTTGAAAAAAAAAAAAAAAAATACAAAATTTTAGTGCCTCACCAATTCGATCCCGGCCCATTCATCGGTCTTTCCCGCAGGGACACCCAACCACCGGACGACCCCGTACACTGTGATTCCCGAGTTGGACATCACCTCCACCATGGATCCCACCTCCAGAGGGACATGAGGCTTGGTCAGACTTTGGCTCTGAATGACACTCTGCTCTTGGTTCTCTCTCACTTGATGTGCACGAGATCCTATACTGGGCATGGAGTTGATGCGAGTCACTGCTTTTTTTAGACCTGGGTCGGTGGCGGGAAGGAGAGGATGCTGGTTAGGAAGTCATATGACATTCTTTTTCTTGACTTGTCACATGTTGCCTCATCAGATTGACCTCTGGCTAACATCACACATGTCTACATATGGAGGTATGTAGACAGTTCAGAGTGAACAATGTGTAAAAAAACACCAGACCATGTGATGAATCTACCGTTCTGCATTCCAGAGCAACAGGACCAGTTTTTCCAGATTTGTATTGGGACAACTTCTTCTGTACCCCACCAGTAGCCACAGGTGTTTGGTCTAAACATTCCAAATGCAGGATCTCATTCACTAAGGATTTTGTTTCATAAAATCAAGGATAACCACACCAAGTGATGATGTGGTTCAGAAATACCACATGTTGACTATGAAAGAGGCAGATGAGCTGGTGACTTTACATACCCCCACATTGGCCGTCTCTCCAGTGCAGCCCGAGGGGGACGGAGTAAGATGGGATCACCTGGACGATGTCTGCAGCACTGAACAAGGGCAGGGGAGCGGGTTTCTTGGATGACAAATTGTGATCATTGTCCTACAAAGAAGAACAAAACATAACAGTTACTGAAAAGCAAATGCAGACATGTAACACTCGTATGTACTCACACTTACAGAACACAATGCTCTTGTGGATGTGTACAATTTGCACTAATGACACCAAGAGTTCATATCTCTCTGGCAATCTTTTGACTGATAACTTTGCCTAACCTTATAATTATAATTATGCCTCTGCTACCCGTGCTTTATATAAAGACACCCACACATTGATGCTACATGTGAAAAAAAAAAAAAAAAACAGGCTTCACCCACCACGAATTCCACCTCAAAGCCAAGCAAGTGCAGGTCGTCTTTGTTCTCTTTTCTCCCAATTTGCATCAGGTTCTTCACCATCCCGGGCAGGTGGCCCTTCTTGTGCTTCACCACCACCAGGTCATCCGGAGACAGCTCACAGATGGCGGAGAACAGCTGAGGGTTACACAGCAGCTCCAGGCGTTTGCTTGTGGAGGAGACGAAGAGCAGTAGCTGGGCCTGGTGGCGGGTCAGAGGGTAGGTGTCCTCTCTCCTCACGATGCCTCCGCTCTTCGGGCTCCCTGCGTTGGAGCCACTGCAGTAGAGCAGTCCCATCAGCTCCCCATGCTGCGTCTCTGTCTCCACACGGCCTATACATCCTCGGCAGAAGCCTTTCCTCGACTTCCCGCGTATCACGATGAAAAACTTCTCCTTCACTACAGTTTTGGGCTCCATTGAAACCCCCTTACTTCCTCCAGTACTGCTGAACAGTTTTGAAGCAGATATTGTGCTTTATAGGAGCAGGTAACCTGTAGAGATACAACAGAGGTACATTAGTTCACTGTAAGTTGGGAGAAAATAAATAACAATTTCGAATAAAAACTAATAACTTCCTGTTTAACTGTTCTCACTGGCAGAATAAACACCATGATATGCTATAAAACCTATAGCAGTATATACAGTTAACATTGCTGGGCAACTCATGTAAGAAAAAAAAAGAAGAAAAAAAATCCTATTTATTTTAAGTCCCTGCAAGAGCTAACTTGATTATATGATCCATGACACTCCACCTCTTTTAAGTAAACAAACGGACATGCCCTGGACTTCAACGCATTTCTAATAACTCTGTTAAAACTCATCACAAAGTCGGTTTAGCATTTGAAACGCAGGAAAACCGTTGTCTCACTTACTGCTTTTTATCTGTCAAGTGCAATTACTCCACTGTCGTTGCATGAATTGAACTGCACACAAGGGCAGGTGGGTCCGGCGGTGAGCGAGCTCTTCCCTTTTACTACTATGAAGGAGGTGGGAGCACCCTGCACGCATTTAAATGCTGACCCGCATGTAACATCCGACGCTCACACACTCTCCGCCCTCCACACCCTCAAGATTTCCGCAGCAGTTCATGACTGTAGACTGTGCGTAAAGAAGAGGGAGGGTATTGTTGACTACTACAGCTGATTGCTAGTTTTACATGCAACATACCTGCAAGTGGCCCAAAAGTGTAGTGTTTTAAATTGATGCTGTGTTCAACATTTTCTATTCCACATATTCTCGCTGTGGATGTATTTACGGAAATGTACATTTATACTAAGAAAGAGCAGAGATTTCTATTTGTTACAGCTGTTGTTCCCTAGTTTTCTTAGCTACATATATGTAGTGACACATTTTAAGATCCACCTCATGACCTTGACTCTGGTCTTCATGTAGTGTCCTATACAAACTGGACTTGACAGTAAGATAAACCTAAATGCTCATGTGCAGCCTAATTTCTCAGAATATAGTCTGAAGTCAACAAGTCTTCATTTTCTACTAACTGAGGTTTTGTTTTCATCTTAAACTACATGAGGTCACCATGTCGTGATCACATCTCATCACTGGAACATTACTCACCGGTGGCTGCAATGATACACTGTCAAACAGTTATTGACCAAAATGTTTACAGTAAGCAATGCCTCGAGTACAGTGTTTTGAGTGACGTGTTTGTGTGCGCGCAGACACATGTGATGTGTTCTACCCTGTGACACAGCCGGTATGCATGTCTGATAGTATCTTGAGTGCACATCAGTTTACATAACAGCCGTCATTTTCTTCAGCATGCATGGTGCTCATGTTTCCTCAGCCCTGCATCAGACATGTCTGTGTTACTTTATAGAAAACACACACTGATGAAATCTGGAGCTCAAGTTTGTCATGGTTATTCCTTGAATCAGTTTTAAGACGATTTACAGGAATAGACAATTTTGCCTTCTTTAATAGAAAGTACTTGTTGGAGGACTGCCCTCTGCAGGCTGGTGATCACAATAACAGGACGCCGTCAAACACTGGAGAACAACAACCATAAACTTACATAATTCGGTGCAATAACAACTTATCCAGTTACTACTAAATATGGCCTTGGGAACTGTTTCTGAAAAAACAAATTAAAGTTCATGAGAACTATAAAACTATGATGAGCCATCAGATAATTCAGGTACTGCTATGGTCTTAATGACATCTCTGTTCCTCAGAATGCCCAGGACAGCAGAGTCTGTCTTCACTCTTTGAGCTACGTGGCCCTTTTCATGCAACAATGGCACACCCTCTTCTGGAGAGTCAGCTGATGAGGGAAAACAGGAAATTACTAATATGAAAAAAATTACAAATGTGACAGCAATAAAGCCAAAGGTCAGCTACTACTGTATCACATGCTTACAGTCAAAAAGAGGTCTGTTTGGCAGATGGAATCTTTTCAGGGAGAGGCTTTCATTTTTCTCTTGATGGTTGGACAGAGCACTGATCAACACCTGAAGCACACAAAAAGTCCACATGGTAAATGATTTTACATTAAAAATCCAAACATCCACCACTGAATCAGAATCCAAACTCCTGTATAATGTAAAGTGATCAAACCTGGGTGGTCGCACTGAAACTCTTGTGTCCCCCTGTGCTGCTCAGTGCCATGTAGATCCCACATTTATGCCAGGCTGGCACCACTATTGTGGGCATGACAGATGACAGGGGCCTCTTTCCTGGCTGGACTCCATTTCTCTACAGCACAAATGAAAAGCAGATTTAAGTCAATACTTTGTAACTGACTGATTTTATTAGGTGAGATTTTGAATGTTTATGCACCTGGTTGGTTTGGAATTGCCCTCTGGTTTTATTTGGCCAGGAGAAATCAAGCATGAGGCTGTTGAGAATAACACCTGACGGAGTTATGAGTCTGCTTCCGAATGGTCTGCTTAAGGAACTACAAGATCATAAAAGACAGTAGATAAGACAGAAGAATGTCAGTGTACCCAGCAGCACATACCACGCATAACCTCCTCGTGTGATAATTTATGTCAGACTGTGGGCAGTAACGCCATCACCTTGCCACCGACACCATGAGGTCATCTGGTCCCATGACCGCTACCTGTCCAGCCTGCAGCTCAGGCTGGAGGGAGTGGATTGTGGAGTAGTGCTTGCGCGGAGATGTGTGGGAGTAATCGATCCTCTCGGCCTGAATCTTACTTTATCAAAAGCAGGGAGGAAATGAACAGGGAGTTCGCTGAAATGCCCGACGTAATGATTAGTTAGTTTGGTGTTGTGCAGTAGAGTGGTCAGTCAGTTACAACACAAAACAATGGCACAAAAAATAGATATGAAAATAAGCAGTTATAGGCAAGTGACACCTAAATATCAAAATATTAAAAATGTCATTTGTGATTGTTTCAAATGATTTAGAGCTGAAACTATTACTCAACAAAAACATTATTTTGATCATCAGTTCAGTTTCACTTCTCTCTGGTTTCAGCTCCTCCAGTGTGAAGAAGGTTTCATGCTTTTCCTTGTCATATACGATAGTAAACTGAATATTCGGGGCTTTTAGACTGTCGGCCTTGTAAGATATAAAACATTTAGAGACGTCTCTGGGTGTAATGGAAACTTTCTCTACTTTCTGACATTTCATAAAGAAAACTATTTACTTATTTAATTATGAAAACAGTCAGATTTATCAGCAGTGAAATCATCTTTAATTGCATCACTATTTTGATCCCTTAGTGTAGTTTACCTCAGGATGTCAGAGAGCAGCTCAGCCAATGAAGAGTTATATTTAGGGTCACCCAAACCACTGGCCATAGCTAAAGCTCCTTCCAGGGCCTATATATATATAAAATATATATATATTTATGTATTTTCATGTATTAGCACTACTGTTTTAACTCGGCCATAATATAAAAAGTCTTGTGATATTAAGGTTAAGGTTGCAATCCTGTACCTCAGCAATCCAGTGGTCTGTTTGATTTTCTGTGTTATTGTTCTCACTGAGACGGAAGCCCTCTAACAAACTGAGAGCTGATATCAGTGCTGCACCAGCAGACGGGGGAGGGGGAACCTGAATTATAAACTCTGAGACAAAAGTAACACAAAATAAATGAAGGTATCAAGAATACATACACATTTGTTTGGTATACTGGGGGAACAAAGTTTAGTCTATACCATTATACAGTCCTTCCAGTGGTTGTTCAACTTCTACAGAGTAGTTAGAGATGTCCTCTCTGCTCAGGACCCCTCCATTTGTTTGCACCTTTGTATGAAACCACAGAGACGGCTGGTAAACGACTGAAAGATGTGTGATGTCTTTCCTAAACTCAGAGCAAAATGAGATTTCACACCAGCTTGTTTAATATCTGGGTGTCATTTACCTCATCCACTATCTCTTGTGAGAAGTTCCCATCATAAAAGTTTGACAGATCGGCCTGTAGGACTCCTGCCAGAGTGGGCGTCCTCAGAAATGAACCAGGAAGTAGAGCTTGACCGCCTGGGAAGAACATTTCCCTGAAACGCTGTGGTAGCTGCTCACCTTTTACCTTTGATATAGCCTCAGCTGTAGAAGAATACAAAGAGTTGCATCCTGGTATATCATCATCAGGTGACATTATCAGGTTATATTATGTATGTGGTTAACAAGAGGCGGTTTGACTCACCGAGACTGAAAGACACACTGAAACCTTCATTGGCGACGGCAGCTGCTCTGTTGACCACATCCTCCCACGACAGACTGCAGTGATTTTGTGGTAAGACATGTCTGACATGTTTGACGTGTTTGACTTTGAAAACTAAACACTAGGAAAAAACACCAGTAAACAGAAATCACTTTATCCACACTCTTTTACCTCCCATACAGACGGTGAGCATGATGTAACCCTCTGAGCATACCTGGCACTCCCACTTGAAGACCTGCCTGAGAGCATATTATAGGTGTTTACAAGCTGAACAATGAAATCAACAACATTTAATGCTCCCACCTTCCCCAGCTTGTCCCCACCTATGTTACCTCAAGCTCTGACACATTTTGCAGCACCGCCTCTGTCAGTGCTTTAGGCGCAGTTCCCTGAAAATTGATCACCCTGGTTTCATTCTTATGGATGTCATGAAGCAGAATCACCCCACCTCTATAGAAAGAACAAGAGATGAATTTCAGATGAGACAGTTGTGGTTATTTTACAGCAAGCATATGAACCACCAGTCAGTTACATACCCACCAATACCTGACACGTGTGGATGCACAACACCCAGACACAGGGCAGCAGCGATGGCTGCATCCACACTCGATCCGTGATCTTGAAGGACTTTTTGACCGAGCGCAGTGCAGCGCTCATGGTCCGACACCAACACACCTTTAACAAACACCTGAGAAGCGACAGGGATGAGAATAAATAATGCTGTGGTGTTTTAACTTGTGTTATACGACATGACGTACCATACTTTCCCCCAGATAACAATGCAGGATCAAAGCAATGGTCACTCCAGTGGCAAAGATGATAGACACAGCACACAGAGGCATGAGGCTGGAGCTGTCCTTGTCCGTCTCTGTGAGGCTGGACAGGCTTTGTCCAAACAGATTTGAGCTACCAGAGGCCATTTCCTTCAGAGGGATCTCTTTTGGGAGATGGCTGAGATCTGTGGCAGCAGAAAGGTAACAACATGCAAACCTTTAGCAGTGGAAATGCGGTGATTTTGCCAGGCAGGTCTTGATTAAAGTTTTCAGCCCAGGTCCTCAGTTTTCTCCCTCAACATCTAATCAGGTGTACACCTGCAGTGCTGCAAATTAGCATCATGGCAGGTTCAAATTGGAAAGAAATCCAGCATCATCTTGTGTGATGAGAACTATGATTGTAAACCATCACTTCACACTGTACCTGTATCCTCTCACCGTGGTTTTTATTCAGTTCACAGGTGAAGTCACCGCATGATGAGCCATCAGCCAACTGACATGAATCAGCAAAACTTCTGTAACTACATGATTGCTTGTTAAGTTTTGTTTCAGGAGAAACATCCATCCTCCCTGTATTCACTACAGGGCAAAGTCCATTCAAGAAAACAGGAACCTTCCTTATTGTACACTATTGTGCCACACGAACAGCACTCCTCCCTCAGAATAACATGTGATTGAGCACAGCAGGTGCAATTACCTCCCAACCAATGAGATCTCAACATTTGCACCTGTCAACTGTGGGTAGTTCAGTGTCATTTGGACATTAGGATTTGACTCATAAATAAAGCACAAGCTGCAAAGTCATACTTTTTATTGCTGTATAAAAGGTTTTAAACCAAGTACATTTAGTAAAGTAAATGCATGTCAATACACAAATCACATCACTTTGAGGATACATTTTGCATAGGCTGCACTTTTCTCATCCACATGTATAAATTCACATGCACACAAACAAGAAAACATCTTCCATCCAAATTCATATACAGTACAGGTTATAATGTAGCTGCCTAGTAACTGGCATCAGTTGTCAAGTGTTATAATGAGTTAAATCTAGATCAGATCTATAGCTTAAATCTGCACAAAACTTAAAGTGTGTAAACAGATGGAGTAATGCTTTTTTGGTCAACTCTAATGTGTGTGTGTGTGTGTGTGTGTGTGTGTGTGTGTGTGTGTGTGTGTGTGTGTGTGTGTGTGTGTGTGTGTGTGTGTGTGTATTATAGTGTGTGTTTATTGTGTATGATGTACACTTAAAGATTATTTCCTGGTTTACAACCAGAGCTTCAGTGGCTGAGGTTGCGATGCCCTGGCTGTTGGAGGTGGAAGGAATGGTGTTGGACACCTTGGTGAACACGGTTCTGGCGCTGAATGGCGTTACGGGACATGTGGTGTCGCTCTGCCCAGGCCTTAGCCTTCTGGTTGCAGGTTAACTGTGTCAACTCTGCCAGAGCTTTAGGCTGAGAGAAAGGGTCAGAGATGGCTCCACTGGTGGTGCTGCTGCTTTGAACTGTGGGCTCTGGATCTAATACACTGGAGAGAAACACAAGCAAGTTTGTGAATTTAAAAACCTTGAGAGAAGTGAAGTTAAACGGGTCGGAAATTGAATAAAGTTGTGCTTTAACTGCAAAGTTTGAAATAGTCTGTAGTTACAGTTTAAATACAGTCAGTATTTTTTTTCTCTCTAATTTAATATGGTGACAATTTCTTGAAGTTAAAATTCTACCAGGCCTACAGAGAGAAACATTTCTCTTGCCTCCTCACCTTGTATTAGTTTCCATGTTGGCAACTGCATTGCCATGAGGAGCAGAGTTTAATGGTTGGGTGTCAGTCAGCTCTGCATCCTGGTTCTCTGCTGAACTTGTCTCTGTGGACACACGAGTAGACAGTAAGAATGTATAACATTAAGATGCACGGTTCTCTGGCTGAGCAAATAACAGGTAGATTACTGAAAAATCAACATGTGGTATGAGCCAAACAGACCTTTAGGAAAAAGCTTTTTCAGTTTGTTTATGTTTCTGTTTAGATCCTTACTTGGCTTAAAAGTAAGTCCTCCGTGACGCCATCAAATATGACATCAGCATGATTGTGATGTATAAATAACATTATGTCAATAATAATATGTAATAAGTAAGTCTTTATGATTACTGTGATCTGATTTCAACTGTACCTACCTACAATTACCTACCTACCATTCAAATTGTAATGATGAAAACATCAGTGATCTACAACAAATGCCTGTTTATTTGTATTTATTTTGTCATATTACAGATATCCTAAATATAAGAGTTTCTCAGGGAAATTAAGTGTTTTTCAGTTACATGGCCGACCTTGATGACTGACAACAAGCCACTCTTCTTCCACCACTTCTCCAGACTTGACTTCTTCAGGGGTCTCCTCCTCTCCCCCAAACAACAGACGGGTGATGGTTTTGAACATCTCTCCTTTGTCTTCCCTTGGTGTGTTTTGTCCTCCTTCCTTTCTTT